CCCGTTCCATTGGGGAAGTGGCTGTTACCCCACCCCCCAGCCTGTGTCCTGTGACCCACAAGGGCTCTTCAGCCACCTCACGGTGGCCTCTGCTGGCACAGTGCCGCCTGTTCTGACCCCAGGTACATGTTGCATTGGCAGGGCATGTTGGAGCTGGCAGACTTGCCCCTGCAGAAGGGCTCTGTGGAGCTCCTCAAGCAGAGATGGGAGTCCACCAATGCTGCAAGACCTGGCTCCATGCTCCCATGCTCGCCAGCCCCACGGTTCCTGGTGCCGGAGAAGATCAGCTGCAGCAGCACTGTGAAGAAAGTGCCGGCAGACAGCAGGAGGGTGGATGTGTTCAAGGAGGAGACCCTAGGTGGCCCTCAGCAGATCAAGCACTTCCCCGTCACTGTGGAGGAGCTGCGGAGCCACTTTGAGGCCCTGGGTGGCAAGAAGGTAAGTGCCTGGGCTGGGAGGACACCTTGAGGGAAAGGAGATGGGCCCCAGGGCTGCAGCGTGGTTTCCCCAGCCTCACACCGCCCCTCTCCTGTGCCCCACTAGGAATGGGCAGTGCTCCCGTGAATGTCCTATGGACAATTTGGATCAGTATGTTAATACTAAGTGTTCTATAGCTTTCCTTATTCTGTAATGTTATTGGTCTGGATGATTTTAATGGTTGCTGACTGGCGCTATCTGCCAACCTGTCAGGTAAGTTAGTGTGCAATTGTGCTTGGCTGGTGCTTTTTAGGGGGCGGGGTGGGGGGGGGGAGAAAAACAAGATATTATGGCCTGAGAGAATTCCCAAACAGTGCAAACACTGTAAAACTTTCTAAAGCAATTGCTTCCTATTTGTAGAACGGTATTGACGCCCTTTCAACTGAGAAACCTGCTGTAGCTTCACCCATTGGCTTTCACTGGCATAATATGACAGGCCTGGAGAAATTGCAGAATTTATTTGTCATCAGATTTTTGTCTGAGAAATGTCTGTGATTTCTTTGAACTATTTGGGAGAAGCTATGCTTTTTTTAAGCTTAAAAAATGCTTCAGAGAAGTATAAGATGCTGAAAAGGTTATTAGTAATCTTAATTAAGGCAACTTCATTTTTGTGGCTAAAATGTCTTTCACCATGCTTTACCTCTTGTGCCTGAAAACTAAAATGTCCCTGCAGGTTTTGGTTGCTGATGGTATATTTTATACCTTCTACATTGTAATTCCTCACTTTTTGTTCAGTTATCAAGTTAAAAAAAATACCTAAGTAAATAAAATATCCTTTTTGAATAATTTTTACCCCATTTCGCTATCAAAGATATACTAAAACTTGATGTCACAAGTCTGTGTTCTACCACCTTCGCACTGCTGCAGGATAACCCTGCTGATTCATGTAGTCAGTCATTTACGCATTTAATTTTAATGGCCAGAGTGATTTAAACATGGCTTTCTGGTCCAGAAACTAGAGTTCAGAATAATGCATGCTGACCGTGATATAATTCATACACAAAATCCTTCTATTAAAAGATATTAGAAAGCTTTTTTATGTGAACAGTAAAATAAAAATTCATGTGATTCATGAAAAATCTTTCCACTGGCTTTAGACACAAAACACAAAAAGTAGCAGGTACCAATAAAATAAAGGTTAAAACTTTATGGGATTATTAGGCACTTTAAAAACCATCTAAAATAGTCATAGACTGCTGCTAAGGAGCATACTCAAATGATTTTAAAATGCAGACCGCTTTTGGTTGATCCAACTTAGTCATTTTTTAATAATAGCAAAATAAACTTTTTTTTCCTATAAAGCAGAATACATTCAGCATTGCAGACATGATCATTCTTGTAGGAACAAATTGGTTCTTTTTTAATCTTAAGATAGGATCTTAAGATCAATAAGACCTCCTTATTGAGTGAGAAAGAATAATTTTTTGGGCTTAAACAGCATTCTTCACTTGACAGGATTGCAGACCTTTACTTAAACAATAATTACCAAGAAAGTAAAAGAACTCCTTTCTCCCAGTCTCAGAACTGTTACATCAATTAAAAATTATGTTTTTAGGGTTTCTTTGCAAAATTCGCTACTGCTGCACCTGGAAATGCTTTGAATTCATGTGCAGCTTAGAATATGAACATTAGTATTGTTATTTCACTGATATACTTTATAAAAATTATTTCCAAGTATATATCTTTTTTGCTAGGTGTTCCTCCAAGTGAAAATTTATAATTTCTGATACAAAAGGGAAACAAAGGCTCAATAAAAAGAGTGGGAGGTGGGGAAAAAAAGAATCAAGGAAGTGTTACTTCCTCTTCCTTATCATTTGTTTCCCAAGAGGGCTGCATATGAAAAGTATTTGAGTAGAGCTCTAGTTAAAATCAATTTTTTTCTCTGGCCAGCCAGAAGTCAAAAAAGGTGTACTCTCTACAGAGCATGCCTTCTTGCTAAGTCACTGAAACTCGTGAAGGAATTGCAACTGTTAAGATCAGTATCTTGCAAAGAACATTGAAAAGCAGATGGTGCTTATAAACTGGGAAGTGTCAAGGGGTGGAAAAGCATGAGGAATGGGCCCTTTTTTCAGAATTCAAGTGGAAAAGCTTGAATTCTGTTATTCTGCTCAGGTAGGTGTCTTAGGAAATAAGATTTATATTGCCTTTGAGTATCTATTTCCCCAGCACTGTAAAACATCTTGAGGTTTCCAAGATATAATCAATATGAAATGTAGAAAAATGTAATCTGCATCATAGACTTTCACAATGTAAGCATTACTTTGACATTTTTACTTAAAAAGAAAAATTCGAAAGCGAGTCTACAAAAAACATCTATGTCCAAGATGTAATAGCACAAAAAATATGTAGAAATTACTGATTCCCCCACTGGTAAGAGTGAATAAAGCATTAAAAAAATATAATCATGTGAGATAAAAATGATCCACAGCAATCTCAGGCTTTTCATGTATAAAGCCTGGACTTTGTATCATATTTCAAATTAATATGCTGAAGGTATTAAAGGTGCATATTAAGCATTTGATGTGTATCTGGTTAATGACAAGGACCTAGATGTTAGAGGTGAAAAAGGCATTTATTAATATTAATGAACGTTAAGTATTTTAGTAGTTAAATATTACACCATGAGATAAGATACTTGTCAGAAAAAACAATAGTATGCCTTCAGAAGATACATTTTGACTATAATTATATCAAGTAATCAGTAATACAAGAAAATACTTATATCACAATATAATGCAAGGCTATGCAAAGGTTTTAGCAAACTGATTGCTTAAGATTGGATCTCTTTCACCCATAGCACATTTCCATGGGCTGGAGGAGTGAAGGATGAGGAATGAGCTGATGCATTTTCCTTGCATTTTTGTAGTGGTTTCACCCAGAAGCGATAGAGAAGATTAGAATAAAGTTTGAAAAGGCTATATGTAAAACTAAGTCAAGGCCATAGAAATCACAGTGGAATTTTTAAAAGTTAAACAAAATGTCTTTTAAGGCTCAGTGCCAGCTAACTATATTACAGTTACCTTATGCATAAATGAATGTGCTCATTAGCCTTATGCTCGGAAAAAGGCTGCCAACTGCTAGAACCATGCTTAAATGGACTATCTCTTGACTAATCAGACTTGCAATACCATGGCATATCTTATTACATTATTCCATAGGAAGAATAGTTTTTATTCTAAGAAGGCAAAATACTGCCAATTAAAAATTCTAAACCCTCTCATTGAGGTTGCATTTCCATTGCAATGCTGTTATTTGTATATGTACAAGATCAGTAGAGAAAAATCAGGACAATTAAATAATGTTAAACCATAAATGGACTTCTAAACAATTAGATCAATCATACAAAGAACCCTCTGCTGGTTCAAAAGTGAAAGACATTCTTACAGGCAGCTGCAAATGTATTTAGACTTTTGGCATATTTTTCTTTCTGGTGGCTATATGGTGAACTATGCCCAATCGTTATTTGAATGGAATGAACATTTCATATTGCAATAAGAGAATACAAAAAAAGAGTAAATAGAGTCATGGACTAAGTTTAATAATTTTGAAGCTAAATCACTTGGTGAAGTCAAAGTACTTCTGCCTGAGTTTATCCAAGTGGAACTTGGATGTATTTCCTTCTTAGGAGTATCAATATGTTAATTATTAAGTCTGTTGCTGGAGCCTTTTAATGAAAGCCTGTAGTATCAGGCCTGTCCATATCATTCCATTATTTAGAAATAAACTGATGTCCCATTCTGATAAAATTATAAGAATTTTCCCCTTTCCTATAGGAAAAAAACCCTGTTTCTTAGGAAGTAATAATGTACTAAAACATCTATTTACTGTACTGACTTATCATTCCCATGAAACAACTAGTTGATTTTATTAGCACTCAAAGGCATTGGAATGTTAAAGCAACTAAGGCATGTGTTTGCTGGGAAGTGATTATGTATGTTTTTCTTAAAATACGTTAAAGCATCCCAACAGAGAAAGTAATTTCATGCTTACTTTTCAGAGAAACCTATTCAAAGAACTCATTAAAACTATTCATTTAAATAATCTGGTATATGTTCATTAAACTGTGTCCTTTGCAGAAAACATATGAACTGCTGCCAGAAAGTAAATGAAGGGAACAGATGTTTAATGTAAAAGGTTAGACCTTCATTAAACTTGTTTAAACAAGCAACATCTTTTTTCCCTTAACACTCTCAGAAACGTTTATATTAATTTAGCAAAGCCATGTAATGCAGAAAAGAATGGAAACCCCACAACAACTGTAGGTCAGTTTTGTACCCTGTTAGCACTTGCATGATTTGTATTTTTGTTATGGATGAATGAAAGCAAATAGTGAGGAGTGCATGGGATGGCCAAACAATTATCTTTGCTGAAAAGCTTGATATTGAAGGGAGTGCTGTATGGTCAGCCTTCTGGATTTTGGCTTCATCTCTTTCTTAGCTCATTCTTTTTGTGACACAATGCATTCCTCTCCTTTGTTTGCATGAACTTTTTTCTAATGGCAAAAGATTCCACAACAAGGAAAGGCTACATTGTCTATGGGATTTGAATTGTAGATCATGAATAACAGGTTTTGGTAAAAATTCGCATTAATTTTTTTTCCTTCAAAAAAAAAAAAAAATTCTTCTGTGCTTCTACTTTCTGAGTGAATATATCAGCTCTTTACAGGTACCTTACAAATCAGCTAAAGAAACAATCCTCCTCCCACTTTGGTTATTCTTATTTAACTCGTCTCTGAACGGAACTGGCTTTTCATATTTTGGAAGATGTATTACATTTTTGCCTTTCTAGAGACTGGACATGTTGTCAGAGTTCTCAGTGATCTCTGCAATGTTTTATGCCAGAGAAAGCAGCTGTTCCAATGGTGGGAATGGAGCTTTCCAAAGCTCCTTTGTTCACAAACAGTCCTATGAACTATTGCAGTACAGTGTATATTTATCTATATATACACACATACATATATA